CTTAATATCTCTTTGAAAGGCAATAGGGGCCCCAGTTGAGCCAAAAGGTGTAACCAGCCATTCAAAAGAACCATCACGAGTTCGGAATACTGTCTTATATTTGTCACCATCACGTACTCTCAGCTTATGAAAGGCAGGACGAACGTCAACTTTCGAGATCCATGTGGCCTTTGTAACTTTCCTCAATGTTTCCTTGATAAGTGGAAGTGGATACCTGTCTTTTACAGTAATAGCATTTGGGGCCAGATAGTCTACACAGAATCCAAGCCCGCCTCCTGGCTTTTTTGCAAACAATACCGGAGCTCCACAAGGTGAGGAGCTAGCTTGTATCCAATTTTTGTCAAGGTGACCTGTTAAGGTTTTCCTTAGCACAAGTAATTCTGCTCGAGACATGTTGTACAAGGGACCAAAAGGCACCTCTTTTTCTCTACCATCTTCGTCCTTGAGAAGGTCAATCTTAGTATCCACTCCGAGTCTATGGGGTGGCAGCTTGTTATTTTCATCTTCAGTGAAGTATTTCGCATTATCATATATTTTGTGGGGCAAACTACCTTGAATTTCCTGCGGAGTCTGCTTTTTCTTGACTTCTAAAGCTTTGTTGATATCAGCAACCGAAGCGGCAAATATCTTAGTTGCCGTATCTTTGGCATTATATGCACGAGTTGCTATGGACATAAAATGTGAACCAAGGATCTGACGAGCGCTTCCTGTATTGATCTTAAAGCAATTTACTTTTGCCATATCATTAGGAGATAGATGGGTCTCCCAACCTTTTCCTTTCACTATAAGCCCTCCTGGAGGTCCAAATCGGATGAAACGACGACGAGCATCATACACAACTGCATTAGCTCTCATCCAAGGATTACCAAGAATTATGTTGTAGGCTAAACCATTAATAACATATCCCCAAACTCTTTCATGTCTACCATCTATATCTAGATCTAGATAAGTAAGCTCGTTTATGGACTGTTGTTTGGAATCCTTTTTGGCAAGCTTTAGTTCCCTTGGTTTGATGGAAATTTGCGGTAATTTATGACGTTTGACAAATAAAAGATCGAAGGCAGAATAGCATAAACACCCTGAGTCTATAAGAGCATCTGTGATCAAACTTTTATTAAGAATTACATCTAATAGAAATGGGGAGCCATCCATTACATTCACAATCTTACTCATTTCCTTCGCCAAAAACTTTCTAGAGCCCTGGGCCCGACTTTGCTCAGGGTTCATTTGTTTCCTGCGTAGACAAAGTTAACAAAATTTTCCTCAAAATCTTCTGATATAATCCCCCATTCATCGTTTTTTGTGGAAGTTGAATTAGCTGCTGCTGGTCTAACTGGCCAGGTAAAATTTGGACAATTCTTATACCAATGTCCTTTCTGGGTGCAATGTGTACACTTCCCAGCTGCACATAGAGTTGCATACTCTTCTGGCGATCGCCATGGAGCTGGTAGCTTTTTATGGACAACCTTTTTATTGCTGTGGCCTTGGGAACTTACAGCGTTTATAATGGCAGCTAAAGTTGAGGTACTGATGCTGTTAATTCCAGAAATTTGCGAATCACCATCTGAATCTAGAGAAGAACGTGTAACATCTTGTTGGCTATTCTAGAATGACCGTTGGACAGAGCCACTGCTGGTGCCAGAGAACGACGAGGCGTTACCAAGTCTACTAATATACCAGGTTTTTGTATATATTGGACCATTTTTTGGAACGTAATTTCCCTGTGATTCCAATCTACCAGCAATTGTCCGAACTTCTTTCACAAATTGGGTATAATTATCTTCGGAGAGTGTAACTATCATCAACAGGTCAATGAGGCGGTCATTCAAGCCTAGACTGAGGTCCTTAATTTTGATTCTTCCTTCTCAGTGAACTCCTCTTGCTAATGATAACATATACTCGAAATCATTCAAGTAGTTTGCAAAAGTTGAATGCTGCCCTTGCCTCACCCTCGAGAGTTTATCTCCAGCAGATCGAGTTGATGTCTTATCTTCAAAACTATCATTAAAATTCTCCAAGAAGAGTTCATAGTTCCACTCACTATTAGGTCCCCCTGTTGAGGCCCATCAAGAGACACGAACTCTCGTATTTTTGGGCAAGGTACTTATCATGTCCATACAAACTGTTTTGTGCCCGCCCAGCAGGTCCCAATCAGACTCAATTTAGTTTGCTAACTGCATCATGTACATTTCGTATGACTCCTTTGTACCATTCAATTCTGGCCAACACAATGCCTTCTTGATCCCAGTTGGTGGAGGTTTTAGAGCCGCCGGTGCATTGATATTATTGTTAACATTTGAAAGAGATAGAATTTGATTAAGTTGCTCTTGAGTTAGTGAAACAGGGGCGCCAGTAAACTGATTATTGCCCAGGGTATTTGTTACGTTAGACATTGGTAAATCCTGAATTCTCTCTTGACTATGTGTTTATTGTAGAGTGTGGAATATTCCAAATTCTTCGGATGTTGTTGATGAATTTGAGCAGGTAGACTTTGTAGATAAATTTCACTGAACAGAGCCGGCGGGTGAGGGTACTCTAAACGTGTTCATAAAATAAAGTAGACGGAGTCGACTAGGAGCGGTTCAGCTAAAACTTGCACTAGAAGGGTAAAAGAGATGGAGATACAGAATATATGTAAAAGGACTGGCCACGCTAGCTGTTTGCACAAGTGAATCCAAAATGGAGTTTATATTCTGTATAACAAAAGGAGTATATGAACTACGCAATTACAGATATGCTAAGCCTTACATAACCCACCCGAACTTGGCTATCAAATAATGTCACGTGAACAATCATCACAAATGGAATCGGAAAACTCCGATTCTAACCATACAAGGCAGTAAGCCTGTAACATTATCCGAGAATCATAACTCTTACACGAAAGTATCGGGTGACTAAATTCAATACCCGTTAGTGGTGTCCTCTACGAACCTCCAGCTCTCACTGTAGAGTCTGTGGAGCCGAGATTGAGTAACACCTTTTCAACTTTGAGTTGAGTTATCTCCCCCTCCGTCAGAGCTACGCTTCCGATAACTCATAAGACGACCAAGACGATGATAATGATGCTGGGAATGAGGAAAGACAATGCGATACCAAACATTACATCGGTAGTCAGAGAGGCCCTCGTTATATCACAACATGTGCTACCCACCGGCGGGCGAACAAAAAGCCCACGAAAGCAAAGTAAAAGACCTTTCCGCCCTCAAGAAAGGCAGATTTCGACTCGTCAATAGTATCGTCCCTACTAATCTTAACTTCCGAATCTACTAGCCAGGAGGACATCTAAAATACATGAGTCACCCGACGACCCCACGTCCGTAACGACTTTTGGATGCTAGGCTAGGCTCCTTCACGACAGTCACTCTCCACTAAGACTTTTCTGACATTCTTTCACGACCTTCGGGTTGTTCTGCGGCATGAATCAAGGGAGGAGTAAGGAGTAGGCCAGGAAGGTTGAGAGACACCCTCAGATATACACAGATCTGCTGCGCCCGGATGGCTGGTCTCTTTGTCATTGGAGAGCCCCGCACCCAGTGGTTTTTGAGACTTCTCCCTGCAGCTACATACCCGCCAATGGCCATCGTTTAATTGGCTGGAGAGGGGAGATAATGACGGGATAACGGCTCCTCTTAGTGTGTACTCGAATGAAGACCAGTGGGGGTATTACTGCTGGAAAGAAGTCGTGAAGAAGGCCTAAGAGGAAGTATACTACCTTAGGTATAAATACTCCTGGCCTATACGCAGGAAGGACCTAAATGTCCTAAAATAGACAGACTTAATAGGAAAATGAACACACACCCACAAACATTTTTGAATTTCGAATTCTCGAAACTTCCCTTTTCCCCCCTCTCCCTCCATCTCGCGCTCGTCGCATTCCTTCAATAAATTGTAATCGAGTCACTGGCATTTTCATCATGCCACCTTTTCGAAAAAAGCTCCCCAACGAAATGTTGGACAACGCGAGAGTCCGCCCGAAGGCTCCCGCAAAAACATCTAGCCTCGCGCAAAAAATATCAAGCATGCCTGTGAGCTCATCCTCTGCCCTCAGGGAAGATCAGAAATTGTCACTTGGAAGATCTGACAGGAAAGAGAACGGATGAGAAGCGTGGGATCCGGACCTAATTGGGATTTCTTCTGAATTTAATTTTAGTTTTTGATTTTAGTTTTGCTGTTAACACCATTATTTATGTGGAAGTTCACACGGTTGGAATGGGTTGGGCCTGTATACAATGATCCTTACCGGCTCCATCGGTCCTGTACCAATAGTAGGTTGTAGAGCTTTTTACTTTAGCTCAGGACTTTATCAGTTCCACATCAACAATAAACATTCGAAAGTATCCAATGTTTCCTCAAATTACCTGTCTTTACAGCTAACCTCATCATAGACTAGTGCATCTGTGTGCTAAGTTATGTCCAATCAACCTTGCCGATCATTGCCCTCATTTGTGTAGCTCAAGATTAAGCAACTGGCGCGAAGTGACATCACTTTCTAACCCTAAGCTTGAGGTATTTCCCTTCCTTTATGATAGTGGGTAGCTCTTACACTTATACACTCCAAAATGATCTGGAATACTAGACTATACCGTGATTCCTATATGCAATGTATAATCCTCCTAAAATTATGCCTTGCTCAAGGGCAAGTTTATAGTATGACAGACTATGTTGCCCATTCCACAAAAGTTTATAATTTTGATTGCCTTTAAGCGTGATAATCAAAATATATTTTTCGAGCTGGACACATTGTAAGTCTTGGTAGCCTACGTGTAGAGCAAGTTTTATCAGGTAGATTACTCAGTTGGATTTATCACTGGCAATTAATGTTCGGTGGATCTTTAAAACTTTCAAGGCAATTCAAAATAATCTTGACCAAATCCCTCACTCATAGACTAAGGGCTGAATCTAGTTTTCAATTTAATTCAAAAGCTTTAAAACCATATAGACCAGAGTAGTCTGGGAATTACAATTATTGTTTTATTTTCCTCCCTTCATGTTCTCATGCATCAGAGATCTTCCGGTTCATTCCTCACTGCAATAACTAATGCGCCTTTACTGCCCTGATCTAAAGCATCTAGGGATTCCATATCTTCACTAGAGAGCTCAAAGTCGTACACATCAAAATTTTCTATGATACGCTCAGGTGTCGAACTTTTTGGAAGAGTAACCCAGTTCTTTTGTAGACCATATCGTATCAAGACTTGTGCAACAGATTTTTTATGGGCTTGTGCAACCTTATTCAGGGTTGGATCATCGCCTTTGGTATTACGAACTAAAGGACAGTATGCCTCAACAATTATACCATTCGTCTGGCAATATTTGACGACTTCACGCTGTTGACAGAAAGGATGCAGCTAAACCATCGTTAGTGGAACCCTGGGATGGGCTTAAAACTTTACCTCAATCTGATTGACGTGTGGAGGATAAATCTTTGCAAAAGACTTCAACTCCTCAATATCTGCGATACCCCAGTTGCTAACCCCAATACTTCGAGTCTTGCCAGCCTCGAGCAGTTTTTCAAGGGCGAGATAAATTTCTTTTCTTGATTTTCTCCCAATGTGTGACATGTGACTTAGGAACAAGTCAACATACCCGTTTTCGCCATCGATCTTCTTAACACTATCAAGCATTTTCGCGTAGTTTGCTTCTACACTTCCCTCACTTTCCAGGATTTTCGTCGTGACGAAAATATCAGATCGTTTAAGCCCAGATTGTCGAATGGCCTCTCCAACTTCAGCCTCGTTGGCATAATATCTATTCCTGTCTCAGATTTGACGCTCTCCTGACACTCAGGGCTGAGACTCACTGTGCTGAGTCGATATGTCTATAGCCGGCCTTTAAAGCCGTCAAGCAAGCAGCGGTGCACTGATTCCCCTCAGACTTATATACACCGAGGGCAAGTCTTGGAATTTGAACATCGCTTTTAGGTAGTGTGAGAACATCAGTGGAAGCAAGTTTAGACGACATGATGGAGTCTGTGTTTGTAGAATATGGCAGGATGAAAGCCCGAATAAATAGTTGTCTGGCAGAGCAGATCGCAACGATGACGACATGCAATGTACATTCAATATGCTAACACGTCATGATTTCTCGCAACGGAAGGTTCCCTTATTAAATGCCAGCCGTTACAATTCGCTAACATAGCTGCGTGGACAGTTCGGACCCTCTTAAGGCTAAACGAAGGCCCCTCCCTCTCGTGCAAGGACTACCTGGCACATACCGGCTTTCCATGGCTAATCAGAGATCGCTGTACGGTAATAGCCTGCAGCATCTGATGGTCATGAGAGAAGCTGTCTAGTCTGATCATCTAGATAGGGTGTGAGTAGCTTGAACATCAGCTCCACTTGGGGCGGAATTACCGTCTGCTTAGACCCAGCAAGGCTCCATCACATTTCTCACAGCCCTCACGTAAAGGATGATAAAGACGTGCTCGCACAACCAAAGCCCACAAACGTCCCTTAGATTGATACTCATGAAGGTTGATTGGGGCTGGCTTATTAAAGGGTATTCACGGATGGGGGTTGACTTGGGGTGAAGAAAAAGCTACCATAACTTCGCAGTGGTACTTGCAAATGAAATCCGAGGCATAGCTGCTCTAGTTTATGTTGAGTCATCTATTGTGTACTTTCCTTTGATGTTGTGTCATAGCTAGATACCTGCATACGCAATTAAAATCTGATTCAAACAAAAAAATTAAGTCTGAGGTTTGAGTGATCTATATATGCAGGAATAATCGCGCACATAGTACCTCTATTTATGATTGAAGGAGCTCAACCCCGAAACTAATCAGGAAGGAGTCATAGGTTGGCCACGAAAGTAAATGTGACCAGCGCTGACATGGAAACTTCATCTGCGTAGGAGAACTATTTTAGAGGTGTCTTTTGAAATATAGTTCTTTATGCATCACAATGATTCGTCTTGAATCAAATATTTATTTTTACCAAAAAGCTGCACAGCACTTTACACCGTCTTTGCCATCAATTTGATGACATAGTGAATCTTGTTTTAGACCTTCTTCAACCTCCTCACATCATTCCAATTTCCATGCTATAACATAGCGGGCGCTGGTCTGGGTAAATCCAGTAATTCTGACACGTCGCGAAAAGCGACAATGGCTAACAAAGCCGAGGGCAGTAGAGCGCAGATAAATCCAGATGAACATAACCTTGAAGCCATAAGTGAACTACAGATAAAGGTTAGACTTATTCTGAGTGGCGAAATGGATGAGGAGTACTTACGACAAATTGAGTATGTTAGCGAAGCCGTGAAGACTTTTCATTCCCATAAGAAGACCTGCACAGCAATTTCCTAGATCCCATCTCTAATCAAGAAGGGGATGATGGCGCTCGAGGAGGTTTTCAAGAAGAGTATTACGGATCCCCTTTATAATGCTGCTCCTGTAGAGGCAAATAGGACATCGATACCAAGGACCTACGCGTTGGTTGTAGCTCCAAAAATGGCCATAACGGTAATTCAATTCCAATCTACAGAGCACAAAATCTGCAGTCAAAGGAATTGCGTTAAGAGGCGAAACAACATATCCTAAGCTCATATGCGATCCGCTAGATGCGAAAGAGCGATACTTCGGTATTTGTGACCGACAGTTATAAAGAGGATTCAATTGATTACTTATAATCTATACGTAAGGAAGGAAGGAAAGAGAAAGTGTACCCGAACCCCTATCTGGATATAATTTTAAAGAAACTAATATACATTGGGAAGCCGCAAATATTGCTACGGATGACACAACAGGCAGAAAAAGGATTACCAATAGAAACACAACCTCAAACATCCGTCGGAAACTTAGCAGGGCCCAAAGCAGTATTGCAGTTCGGATAACAAGTGAACACATTGGTCTCAGTTCTTATCTGTATCGAAGGAAAGTCTCCGGAGTGATTAATCCAAAATCCCATTGTGGATATTATTACGACTGACCTCAGGTTCACACCAGAAGACTTCTTTGAAGAATGAGAGAATAATCGCTTTGCGTTTGGACCTAAAGCTACGCACGATAACTAGAAGAAGAGCTGGCAAAGACGAATTCTTCGCCTTTCAGTGGTGCCGGTGTAGTTGCTCAGTATGCTCTGCATATATGGGATAGCCAAGAAGAATCGCACCCGAATCGAATTTGAAAGCAAAAACATGCATATCTCCATTTGATAACTTCTCAATCATGCAGCACTTACCGAAATCCTCTGAGTCCTCATCCTCTCTCTAACCACACATCTCACCTCAACGGCCAATAAAGAAGTTGCTCCAATTGCAAACAGGAGCTTGCCCCGTTAATTTCCAGCCATCTATCACTACATATCCACGACACTATTTATTCCCGCAAGGAGGAAATCATGTCGAAAAATACAAAGCCTGGGTCTTGGCTGATGGGGGACTGTTGCTCTAATGGGACAAACCACTTGAGGGAGTACAGACGCCTGAGATGTGGAGCGAGATGGGGGAGTAGGTCCCTGAAGACCATGCTGGGACTGATATTTTCGAGTAGTTTCCAACTTTGGATTTTTTGTGGACGCCAAGACCAAGATTTCGGCAAACTAGCCAGGAGGACTTCAATTGTCGGGGAGTCAACGGCACTCCCCGGCGCCCTGGACGGCACATAAGAAGTTAGGCTAAGCTGCCAAACAGCAATCACGCTCTGTCAAGACTTTTGTGACATTTCAGCACGACCTTCGGGAAGGAGCTGGAAGGAGGCGAGAAAGGCAAAGTGTGAATTTCCTGAGGCACACACAAGTCTACAGCGCCCAGCTGGCCGATTTCTTCGAACGCTTTAGAAGGATCTCTATGTCTTCGGATTTAGTCCTAATGTCTGTATTAGGAGAGCTCCGCACCCAGTGATTTTGGCAATTTTTCCCAGCTGCCATACACCCGTAAATGGCCATCGTTTCGTTGACTGGAGAGGGGAGATAATGAAGGGCAAAGAGCTCCTCTAAGTGTGTGATCGAATGAGGACTTGTGAGGGGCGGTACTGTTTGAGGGGAGCTGTATGGGAGGCATAGGAAGGGATATACTACTGGCATAGGTATCCTTGGCCTGTGGGCAGAGAGGACTTGCATGTCCTACACAGTCATGTACTCAGACAGGATGTTGAAAATTCAGACTCTATGTGTCTGAAGTTTCCCATGATTGGAACAACTAAGATTCTCATACATGACTCACGACCTAGATGATAGATATCTCCCTTACTCAGCATGTTTGATGCTTGAGACTCGACTAGTGCATGGTATGGTCTGATACACGTGTAGGCTTTCATCCACCGACTCTGACCCCATACTCATGTTGTATACTATTGTGCGTTTCATTGTCATTGTTAGAGTATGGAACGAGTGATGGATGGTATCTAGTCTGGATTTGGTCTATCAAGATTACATGTATATAAGCTGTCTAGGGATCACTAAGACAGATAACCTAATTCAATTCATTCAACCCATCTTTTATTTCTCCATAGTATATCACATATTCTCCCGATTCAGATTATTATTATTCTATTCATAAAATCGCGCCCATATTCTTTGAGCCACCTTACTCATCGAACCCATACCAATTTTCCAATGCAGGACAATAAAATGAATCAATAAAATTCATCGGCAAAGATTAATATACCATCCTTATTCCTGCATCCTGTATTATTAATTCATTTTATTGTCCTTTCTGAGTCCATGACTATGTAGTTGCATCCAGTATAACAGGCGGTTGTGGAGTACTGCATAAAATGGGCCTTGTACATCTAGGGTTGCCATGGCCATGAACTTACCATTCCGCATTTTCGCTTCTGCATCATGTATGATACAGGTGACAAGATCAACCGCTGAATGAGCTCGCGAAAATAATATGCAGCTATTAAGCACCATTGGCGAAAGCACCCACCCAGACGGAAATGTGCTAGATTTAACCTGGAGTAACACGACGGCTTTTGCATCAGTTTCAAACCGCTTTCACTGTACATCAGAACACTCTACTATTGAGGGCTCAGTTGACACAACCGGGTATTCGGAGCTATCTGGAATCCCAAGACTAACTCGTGTTAGAGACTGCGATCTAGATGAGTTTGCACGATGCATGAACCAATGAGTAAGGCCTGGCCCCCTAAGTTGTCAAATCGAGATTGAGGACTTCACGAGGAGTTTAATCCGAGTACTTCAAGATGCGGCCAAAATTGTCGGACGAGCATCAGCTGTAGGAATTGGGAAAACAGCACCTTTGTGGACTAAGGACTGCAAATAACGATAGATTGACTACAGGGTAGCTAATATGACATCTGGAGATGTAGGAACTACACGTAGAGCTTTCCAAGCCGCAGTGGAGACAGTAAAATGCGAATATTGGACAAAGCAAATCGAAGTAGCAGAGAAAGAAGAACAAGTGTTCAAACTCATGCAATGGGCCAAACCAAAGCCAACGAAACTGCCTCCTCCTCTCCAGGTATCACCAAACCAGTGGCTTTCAGATCCACTCGAGCGGACAATCGCACTGCGTGATTCCCTTCTGAGGAGATTCGACGCTAGAAGCGATGTAGAAACATGGGAGAATGGTCAACCAGAGTCTATCCCATGGAATAGAAAGGTCTCGTTGGAAGAAGTTACAGCGTCAACCATAGGAAGTAAAGAAATGGCTCCAGGGTATGTCTCAAGGAGCCGTGTTATCAGTATTCCGTAGGGTACGAGTTTGGTACAAGTAGGTTACAGGTGTGGAGTATGGTGGTGATTCCTAAGAGTAGGAGGTATAAATTCAGCGTTAGGTATAGGGTTCACAGAAGAAGTAAAGGTAAAATAAGTAGTAGGTAAGAAGGGTACAATAACGGCGGTCTTCTTTAGAGAAGAGATAAGTAAGTGAACAATAGGTATGAGTATAAACAGAAGACGTTGCGTGAAGAAGAATACTCCTTCACGCTGGGTATATATGTACATCAGATAATAGGACAGCCCTAAGCTCTGTCTCGAACAGTATTACTACGCAAT